GGTCTATAACTAAAGAGAAATGATCCGGACCCCTATAGGGGTCACCCCCACGACCCCTTCTGGCCTGTGGTTGGCCAATATTTTTTTTTTTTACTTCCGATAACTAAAATTAGAATTCTTTGGCTTTCGTTGGTAACTCGGTGCACCATTTGATGGTGACAAACACACTTGGTGCACGCACACCAAGTGTATGTAAAGCCTCATTTCGATTAGCTTTTTCTATCAATTTTTAAATTCTTTTACGGTATTTATGAATATTTTTTAATTGAATAAATTACACTTTGTTCCTCTAAAATTTTACTCATTTTCTATTTTATCTCTTTAAGTTTGATTTTTTCTACTTTGACCTTATATGTTTACAATCCTTCCCACTTTGGTGTTTCATATTTGCAATTATTTCCATTTTAGCCCTTTAAATTTGATTTTTCTCACTTTAGCTATTCATGTTTGTAATTCTTTTCACTTTTGCCCTTCAAGTTTGCAATCTTTCCCACTTTATTTCTAGACTAACTTCTATATAAAAAAGTAACAGAATTTGTCACATTATTAACGCATCATCTCCATATGTGATGTAAAAAATTCACTAAAGATGCAAAAAATAAAAAATAAAAAACAAAAAATTAATTTTTTTTTTTAGTCTTTAGTGAACTTTTTTTTTTTCTTCAAATTTATTCATAATCATTATTACATTATAGATGCATCTAGATTAGATGCAGCTAAAAAAATAAAAACAAATTTAACTAAAAAACGAAAAGAAAGTTCACTAAAAAAAGAAAAAAAAATGATAGTAAATTTTTAATTTCAAAATTGACAATACAGGTGTTTGAGTTAGTATATTTTCATTTTTATTTGTCTTTAGTAAACTTTTTTTTTAAAAGTTAAATTTGTTTTTATTATTTTAGCTGCATCTAATCAAGATGCATCTATAATGCAATAATGTTTATGAATAAATTTGAAAAAAAAGTTCACTAAAGACAAAAAATTCTAATTTTTTTGTTTTCTATTTTTTATTTTTTTGCATATTTAGTAAATTTTTTTACATTACACATGGAACTAATGTGTTAGTGATGTGGCAGATTATGTTATTTTTTTGTTGGAAGTTAGTCTAGGAATAAAGTGAGAATAATTGCAAATATGAAGGGCCAAAGTGGGAAGGATGGCAAACAAGAAGGGTCAAAGTGGGAAAAATTAAACTTAAAGGGCTAAAGTGGGAAATGGGTGAAATTTTAGGAGGCAAAGTGTAATTTATCATTTTCAATTAGCATTTAATTGTTTTTACACTTTTTTTTAATAGGAAAGCATGAAATTTAATACATTGTACATTCAACCATAAATCGCCCAATAAAATATATCAGGATACAAAATAGATCTTCCCAGGATAAAGATAACTTTCAGGGAAGAAATAAGTTTCCACATAGGGAGAAAAATAAATCTCTAAGTCGGGATGAGAAAACCTCAATGAAAGAAGGAAACCACTACAGAGAGGTATTATTGCAACATAAAAAATAAAATAAAACAAAATCAAAAATCAAAACAATCACCATAACCACAAAACAAATATTACTAATCATTTTTACAATTTGTTCATTATCACAATCGATAGTTGTGATAATTTAATTCTCTGCTTTACGTTACAAAATAAAATATTTTGGATCTAAAGTGATCATATAGCATGTAGAAGCGTATTTAGGAACGTTGGATTTCGATCTTAAATTAGATCTGAGTTAGATTTGAAAGTCTCGTTTGTAACAAGTTGATGATGAAAACGCGAAGAACAGTAATAGCTATTATGATGATGAATACGAAAAAGAAACATTAGGAGAAGAAAACGGAGAGAAGAAGGTTGGAAACACTGCCCTCTGCCCTAAAAAGAAGAGAAATAGAAAGAGAGACAATGTTTGTTCAGAGAAAGAGGGCCTGGGGTTCGCAATTAGTCGGACCAAACACAATTTTTACTTGCATTGGGACAATTGAATTGTTTTCCCACTTGATATGGATAGTATTAGGTGTACGGGAAAGAAATAAATCTTTTCGTATAATCCTGTTGATCAAGTCTGCGCTCCTCCGTATGTTGTCGTTTTATCACCTGAAAACACAAACGTGAGCTAGCCGGCGGGTGTGTGCCAGAAACCTCTCCGATGCCTAAGTCAGTAAGCTTGACAAATAGACAAAAGCTCTGTGTATTCAGAAAGCAAAGTTGTGTGTTACCTCTCCAAAGGTGATGTTTATGAGCTTTTATAGGTTTCGTGTGGCACAATCCTAGTAGGACTTCTACTCCTCCATGCAGAGCCCTTCTAGGATTCATACTCTTGAAGGATAATGCTTATTCTTTAACACCCCCGTCACTGCTTAAACCAAGTGAGATGGTTTTACCATGGGCGAACTACCATACGACCGAAGTAAACATGACTATGCATAGCCGTAGAATAAGCCGAACTAGCTCTTCCTTTTACTGCTCTTACGTCGGCTTCTCATGCACAACCCATGGCGTGGTTAGACCGAACTAACAAGTCGTGACCGGTGTAACTCCAAGACCAGTTTAACTCAAAGGTACCGTTAGACCGATCTAACTTCGATCTTACGTCGGACCGGACTAGCTTCGCAGCCCTAGGACCGGACTAACTTCAGAATATCCACACGACCGGAGTAACTTACATGGCCATTTTACTCGGCCCTTTGTATTGTGACTCATAACGGTCCATTATCCAGCTCGGCCCAATTTTCACATAAATTACCCTCTCAATTGCCCCTTAATTCCATCTGCCTGGCATGTTTGGGATTATCTGTCAACCAGCCGAGCTATAAACTTTCAGCCCTTCCAACCGAGCTATAGATTTTTAGCCTATCTAGCCGGGCTACTTTCACACCGAGCTCTAGCTGTCCGGCAGTAACGTCTCTTCAATCACAGAGACTGAAACGCTTCCCATTCTAATGGCACGTGTCATGCTCTGATTGACTGAGAACGACTGTCACGCCGTCTTCGTACTTCGTGAATTTTGAACAGTCCCGCCTTTTTTCCCTTTACCTAAAACGAGCCTCTTCATTTTGACATACTTTGCAACTTCTTTCTCTCTGAGCCTCCATTGTTTCTTCATTTTCTGAGCTCGTGTTCTCCATAGCTGCCATTCTCCTTCCAGCTCTTGCCTCTTCATCAGGTAAGCACTGTACATCTACTTTGTTTTCATATTTTGCTTTCTGTGTTTTTGCAAAACATATTTGTTCATTTTGCTTTGCTCTGTACTTTTCTGGAAAAAACTTAACAATAGAACACATGAGTACATGTAATATCCTGTAGAAAACTGGTTTTTGATCCAGAACCATGATGCAACTGAACTAGGATACTGTTTAAGCTAGGTAAAAGTCTAGCTAGCTTACAACCGGACTAACACTTCATGTCAACACCAGTAGCTTTGAATAAGTCAAACCACTTCTTGACAGACCTTAGCTGAGGTAACCAATCCGAACTAAGTTTGCACCTAGCATACTGAGATACCTGAACTCCAACCGATCTAGGCCTTTGGGGCTAAACCAGCTTTCTTAGTTTTTTAGATGGAACTCAGAAAGCTGTCCCTAGACGATCAACCGGTCAAACAGAACCGTTTCCACAACCGAGATATCGAGACGCTTGCCAAGCCCGAACTAATAAAAGCCATGCTCAAACCGAGCTACCAATCACCTTGCAGAAACTGATTTAGAACCTGTAGCATCCACATAGCCGAAGTAGGGCTCCTATTTTTTACTTTTATTTTGTAGCACGGTGTAGACGTCCCCGAACGCCCCGGGAGGAACGAGCTCCCGTTCCGTTCATATTGGGGTCACTACAGCTCAGGACTCTCAAATTTGTCACGGTTCTAAGTCTGAACCAAAGAGTCCAAATCCGGCAAATCGTTTTGAGAAAAACAGATTTTTGAAAGAAGTGCCAAACATGGACTGCTTTGCCAGATACAGAGTCGCCACCTAAATATTTTATTTTGGGAAATTTAGGAAACCCTGACTCGGTGCCAAAAGGCCACGCGTCCGTCATCACCAAAGTTGCCTCGGCTCGGGAACTTGGATATGATTGGGGAAGGTCACTTCGTGAGCACCCCCGCTCGCCCGGTCATAGACCGGCCTCTACTAACCACGATATCAATTTTTGAAAACATTGTGAGTTCTTATTCCGGTTATTAGCCTAGGTTACTATGTGATGCGCACAGCATACAAGTATAGACCGGGTCGTCCGAATTGGAACAAAACATTTCATGCTTGTTTTTGAAAATGGTTTGCTACCCGCAGGTAGGCTTGAAACATTTGATGATTTATTCCAATTCAGATAAATGGCAGGTGTACTTAACTAGTTGTTGGTTTTTTGAATATTAAATAGTTTATACATTTTTTTTAACTATTCATTTTTATTGGGAAAATGTACCTCCATTTTAAATGTACGGTTGCACATGTCTTTAATTATCCACTTTCTCAATAGTCCCTTCGATATAATAGATGAGAAGGAAATTAATTTATTGTACAATAGATGATACTAAAGGAAAATAATTTATTGTGCACTTTTGGCAGATACGTGACTCCACCGACTTGTCCCCAATGCTTGAGTGGTAGGATCAATGCAAAATAGGACTGTTCAGGCTTTAATGTTTTTTTAGTAGTGTCTGGCTTAATGAACTAATTAACTTCAAAATCAATTTCACCATTCACTAATAGGAGCTTAATTATAAACTGATTCCAAGAAATTACTTACATTTAGGTGATTTCAAATTTGAAACTATGGAGAAACCACACCTTGACTCAGACTTTGACCACCAGGCTAAACTTTTGGGTTATGTCCAAGTTTCAATGTTGAATGAAACAATGGTTCTTTGATTACATGCCAAGGCACAAAATGTTCTCTCACAATTACAAAAAAGCTACAAATCAAAGAATGATTCCTTGTTTCGATTCCAAGCCACCAAAAAAAAACCCCGTTCCATACAATCTTCAAAGTATTTAAATGTCTCTACACCAAGTTTTGGTGGGTAGTGGTGCCAATCTGTTTTGAATAGACAATGACTGCTCGAGTTGTCTTCTCAGGCCATGCCACAGGACAGATTACACCCTCCAAAGCAATGGTAGGGGCTCTTCGTTTCTTGCCTATGAAAACATGTCCGCTTAAGATTAATAACACGAAGAGTGTAGGGCAGCATATATACATGAAAGCAAGGATATGGAACAAACCCATCAGAGAACGTAGGTTGAAGGTAGTCATGTTATCAGCGAGCAGTGGTGATATTGGGCCTAATCTACTTTCTTCATCTGACTCAATTAAGCAATTCTATACCTCTATCAATGAGAAGAATTTGAACAAACTCCGCGAGTTCATCTCTGATAATTGTTATTTTGACGATTGCTCATTCATCAAACCATTCCAGGGGAAAAAGGTCTTTCTCAATTTCTCCTTTTAAGCATAAACGCAACTATGCTTACTTTCGTGGAAAACGTTTTTTGATTTTTTTTTTTTTTTTTTGCTTTTTTTGACACTTTGTATGACTGAAAATTAAAATTAAAGATTTTTTTTTTTATATATAGAAAATGTTTTCTGCCTAAACAAATGAAGCATTAGTGCTTGTCTACTGATTTGCCAATTACTAGAATAATTTTTGTAAAGCAACATTTTCTTTGCGCCAAGACAAAAGCAACTTTATTGTGTTATTTGCTTCTATGTGCAACTGTAGGAGGTTATGGAGTTCTTTGGGCAACTAATCACGAGCATGGGTCAAAATGTCAAGTTCAAGATAGGACACATGTGCGAGGGAGATGATTTTACAACTGGAGTAACTTGGCATCTTGGTAATTCGATCTCATCTCTCGTTGTCTCAAATGAATTTAACAATGTTGTTTCTCATCAGCACGATAACCATCTTTTTAAGTGATACATAAAACTTGACAATAAATGTGTTCTATTACCATGACAGAATGGAACAAAAAACAGATCCCCTTCACCAGAGGCTGCAGTTTTTATGAATGTTCAATGGAAAACGGAACCAAACTAGTCATCAAGTATTAAATAAAAATCAATTTCAATATTCACCTCAATTTTCTATTACACAATTATAATGGAGCACATTATAATGCAGGAGAGCTCAAGTTCTAATCGAGTCGCCAATGAAACCAGGAGGCTCAGTACTGGTAATTCCACTATGACTCTCCTTAGAACATTATTGAATTTTTTTTTTTTTGGATCCGTTTGGTTTTATTTTGAGATTTAAAACTTAATTCAAAACATAATCATTACTTTTCAAAACTCATAACTAAACACA